TCGCAAACGCAAAGGCATGGCTGTGAACACAGCCTGAAGGGTCAGATTTTTTCCCGAAAGCATGGCGAAGGGTTCTTCCGCTGGGTTCACTTGAGTTGTTCTCATGAGAGTCATTACAAGGTGTCATTGCAAGGAATCATCATCATGAAAGTCAATGCACGGAGTCACTGCAAGGAGTCATTGCAAGGAGTCATTGCAAGGAGTCAAGTGCAAGTTGCAAGTGCAAGGAGTCAGGTGCAAGTTGCAAGTGCATGGAGTCAAGTGCAAGTTGCAAGTGTAAGGAGTCGAGTGCAAGTTGCAAGTGCAAGGAGTCAAGTGCAATTGACTTGCGAGGAGTTAAAATCTCTTCTTAGGGTGGCGGGGTAGTGCCGACGACACTACACGAAAATCGACCCTCTGCGGGGATCGGCGTGGTCGAGGTGCAAAATCCCATGGTCTTTTGCGATTTTTAACATGCTCGCGCGACCCTCTGCGGGGATCGGTGTGGTCAAGGTGCAAAAACCCATGGTTTTTTGCGAGTTCTATAGTTCCCGCGCGACCCTCTGCGGGGATCGGCGTGGTCGAGGTGCAAAAGCCCATGTTTTTTTTGCGATTTCTGCGGCGCTCGCGCAACGCTCTGTGGGAAGCGGCGTGGTCGAGGTGCAAAAACGCGAGGTCTTTTGCGACTTTTGTTGTTCGAGCTGGTCCTCGGGAGTTTTCTCGTGGTTCGCGCGCCTGCGCCCGGAACCGGCGGGTCGCGGGTTCGATTCCTCCCTGGTCCGCGGCGGGCGTCGCAAGATGCAACTTGCATTTGCGCAGAGCAAGTTGCACAGAGCAACTTGCGCAGACCAACTTGCACCGACCAGTTTGCGCAGAGCGCCTTGCCTAGAGCAACTTGCGCAGAGCAACTTACGCAGAGCAACTTGCACAGAGCAACTTGCACAGAGCAGCTTGCACAGAGCAACTTGCAGGGAGCGCAATTTGCACAGAGCAACTTGCAGGGAGCCACTTGCAGGGACCAACTTGCCGGAGCAACTTGCGCGGAGCAACTTGCGCAGAGCAACTTGCACAGTGCAACTTGCGTAGAGCAACTTGCGCAGACCAACTTGCACCGACCAGTTTGCGCAGAGCGCCTTGCCTGGTGCTGTCTCGCGCTTGCTTCACAAATGCTTCGTGGAGGGAAAAAGAACGCATCCTGCAGCGTTGGGCCGACCTCGCTTGCGATGTTACGCTTTCGGGCCAGCCGTGGTCTAGTTTTTGGCAGACCTTGGTTGTCTTGGTTTGGAGACCTCTTGACCAGGAGGCGTACCCCTTTCCGGTCTTTGTGTCAGACTGCAAGGAGATTGCGCAGGAGATGTGGTCAAGCCCGGGCAAGACAGGACTTGCTCTCGAGATAGAGCTGCTCGCTGCGGAGAACATGTCTGGTGTGTTTGCCCCGCGGGGGTACCGTCAGAGGTTTGCCGCATCTGGAGCATACAGGAACTGCCTGCTCTTGGGCGCCGTGGGCTTGAACGTGCTGCGCATTCTGCAGCTGCAGGCGGATCCAAACGCCCTCTCTGGCTCGGACAAGGCGCAGGCAGACGAAGTCAGACAGTGGCTCGCGACCATTGAGGTGGTATGCCCGACGAAAGGTCGCTCGAGGCCTGTCAGAGACCAAGTCCTGAATGCGATGATGAAGCTTGACAGCCTTCGGCAATATTTGCAAGGTTTGCGTTTGTTCCCTCATTAGCTTAGCGATTGACGTTCTCTATTCAGGCAAAGAATGTTACACCTCGCAATTATTTTGCACCACTGCGGATTTTGCCAGCGCGGATTTGATGGCTGGCACGCTGTCTGGTTTTCGGCAGTGTTGATGGCGTCATGGCGTTGCTTGTGCTTTTTTGTTTTCCATAACGCAGAATTGCTATTTCATGGCTGCGGCATGGGTGTATTGTTCTCTCTGTCCAGTCACGTGAGCGGATGCTTTGTTCTTGGCTTTGGCGGCTTGGGGTCGGTAGTGGTCTGCTGGGGGTCGATCTGAGATCTTGTTTACTTTTTCAAGGCCGTGCGTGTCTCAGACGGGTGCACCTGTGAGGAAGACCACGCGCGAGGCCAGACGGAACCGGAAACTGGACCTTGTGCTTTGCGCCGGACTTCTGAAGAACCTCATGGGCGAGAAGATGGCTCGCATGCCTGAGCGAGACCTACTGGCGGAAATTAGGGGGGTGATGCTTGGTTGCTGTTGGGCTGGATCTTTAGACTTTTACTTTTGTGGAAATCAAAGGGTTTCGATTCCATTGGGCCCACAAAAGTGAAACATTTCTCGGAGGGGCCAACAGCAGCCAAGGATCCGGATGTACAACAGCCAGACGTTGGATGCCAGACACCAGATCAAAGGCAAGCCAGACTACGCGTTGCGGCATGCGGTCAACCCTCAGTTCTTGCCAGACGAGGCGGTTGGTTGACTAACTGTTCTGCTGCTTCTCTGTCAGTTTAGACTACAAAAGCATGCCCTGGCACGGCAGGTGTTCAGTGCCGTAGTGGCTGCCAGTCAGACCCCTTTCTGGAACGACGGCCTCCTTGAGCAGCCAGGCTTTTACTGTGGCGTGAGTCAGCCGGATTCTTAGTCGAGAAACCAACTTCTCAGGCGCAGTTGTAGCTGTAGTTGGCACACTGACGCATAAGCTTCTTTGCAGCGAGGCGGGATGTCTCCCATGCGGAGTGGGAAAAGATGTTTTTGGGCTCCGCCAGAGCATCCTTGAAGATTCTGGAGGAGGTGCGCTCGGGCAAGCACGAAGATTGTCAGATGGGCAAGCAGCTAGGATGGCTTGAGAATGACACAGACAGACACAGAGAAATACAGACAGACGGACATGACAGAGACAGAGACGGAGACAGACATACAGACAGACTAGGGCCTTGACTAGGGCATACATATAGATATAGATATATATATATATATATATATATATATATATGTAGGGGTTTCTCAAAAGGTCCTTGCAAGAAGTTACGCATTCGGTGACCATTGATGTTGGTTCAGTTCTTTTCGCCAAAGATCGGCGATGGAGCTTCCGCGCGCTTGTGCTCTTATGCATTTGCAGTCTCCACTCCCTTGTAGACACGAGATGCGCAGCGCCTTTTGGTTCCCTGCCTGTGTTGGGACTGGCGCAAGCCAAAACGTTGACTTGGCTATTTTAGGAGCAAGTCTCGTGAAGGACGGGCAAACGCCCATGGAACTTGTTGCAAGGTTCTGCGCACCCCCGGCAAGCGCAAGTGGCAAGGGCGAATAGTGGTGACTGCTCTCATTTAGCTGCTGCAAGCCTGCCACCGTAAGTGAACTGCGGCTACTGTGTTTGCAGGCAAAGCTGCAGCCACGACGGCTCCACAGTGGACGCTGCAAACACAAGGGCGTGGCGCTGGAGTCGCGAAAGATTCGCGCCGGACACCTTTTTTTCCTCGCGAAGATTGCGTTTTCTAGAAACAGCAACGTTGCTCAACAGCCATGTCAGAAAAAACAAGACATCAGAGCTTGCAAAGCCCTTGTGTGCAAGCCAAGGCAATATCCCACTTCGGCACTGTCACCTCTGGTGGGCAGAATGGTCCTCTGTCAGAACATTGCCAGAGACATTTTGGGCCACTCCACGCAAGATGATGCTTGCGACAGATTTTGGGAGGCAGTCGACCAGAAGAAACTCGACACCAGGTTAAGCCGCCTCATTGCATCGAACGTCATTGAGGATTTCGACTACGACCAGCAGTTTCAGAAGTTGGCCACAAGTGAAGTGCCCTTCCTTGCGGAGCTCCTTGCTGGGGCTAGGGGGGTTCCGCGCGAGGATGTCCTTGTCAGCGGCGAGGCAGTTGAGTCCGACAGACAATTGGCCGAGGCTGTGGCACGCAGCAATGAGGTGCAAGAAAAGGCCTATTTCCAAACCTTTGAACACGACCTGGCTGTCTACGAGGCCGCAGCTCTGTTTTTGCTATTCAGGTAAGCATATGTGATTTTTTGTTGAGGCCTTGAGGCCCTGTCGTCAGCCGTAAATGGGAGAGACTTCGTTTCCCGGCTGCCGGGCTCGGCTGCCCACCGCATTTCCTGCATGCAGGCGTGGCGGGCAGACTCAACCACCGCGCTGGGTAAGTGGGATGAGGCCTTGGCGAAGTGGCAGAAGGACGGTCTGGAAGAAAGCCCCAGAGGAACACACAGCAGCGTTAGGAAGTCAAACATGTTATTTATGGCGCGCCCTCCTTATAGACTGCATGCCTCCACACCCACAGCCTGGGCAGGAGCGCAAGCGGCTCTTGTGGCAAGAAGCTGGGCATCGCCTTGGAAAGATCATGGAGGTGCGACACCTGCCCTTGTCAGACTATGCTCGCGAGATTCCGGCGTCTCAACTGCAGTAGTCGACAAAAAGCCAGAGCGTGAACCTGGGATGTCTTGCCGGAGCGGCTGCCAGGCTATATCTTTTAAATTGCGGGGTAATGTTACAGCGTAGGCGGTGGCCACTAAAATGCATGTTGTCGAGATGCAGCGACCCAGGTGGCCGTGCAAGAAGCGCAGACTGACACAGTGTTGGTCATTTGCGACCTCCAGAATTCCCCAGCCGTCCAGCGCAAAAAGGGGACTTGTGTGTCAGATACCCTGGCTATGGTGCAGCACGGTGCGGCCAAGCTTGTTTTTTTCAGCCAAGTGGAAGGGTCAATGTGAGTGAAATGGCTGGCAATGACGCTGAAGCTGAAGAAGCTTCTGGAGAGTCAGACGGCGAAGAAGACGCGGGCAAGTCAGACGGCGAAGAGCCAGCCCTGCCTGCTTTGGCAGCGACTGGGCGTCAGACAGCTAGCAACTCGCAGAAGCAGGAATTGCTTTCAAAAAGCAAGGCATGCATCCGCGCCAAACTACAGGAGGCCTTCACAAAAGGCGTGAGGAGGCACTTTGAGATGGACTTCGTGCTAGTCCATTCCGCGCCAGTCAGCAACCGCCTGACTTCCGAGGCTGTCCTGCTGTTGTCTTGGGTTTTTGTGATTGGCTCTCTCATTCCTGTCAGGGCGTGACCTGGGTCAACGACACTTGCTTGGCCCAGGGGGCCCTGATGGTGACGAGGTCAACAGAAGTGTACCCGTTTTCCAAGAAGGTCGCTCGGGAGATCCGCCAGAGTCAGAGCATGCCGAGCGCCATCCAGCGGAGTGCTGCCTCAGAACTTCAGCGACTGCAACGCGGTCAGACGACCACAGCCGCAATCATACAGAATGTCTTGGAGAAGGTTGAGGAAGGCAAGTGCCTGGCTGTTGTGGACTTGATTTCTGGTGTGGGTGACTGGGGCGCCGGAGTGCTGTCCGAAGCGCAACGACTCGGCCTGACCCAGCAGTCGCAGGAGAAGGAACAAAACGTGCGCCTCAAGTACTTGGGCTTCGACTTCCGGGAGTACGCTGTCGGCTACTGTCACACACGTTGGACAGCCTCGCTCGAGACCATGCTGAGTCAGAGCCTAGGCTTATTTGCAGCAAGCTTTCGAGTGAGTCAGCATGGGTCTGGCCGCAGCATGTTGTTCGTAACGCGCAGTGGCCCATTCTCACAGGACTTCATGCTCTTTTTCTTTAAAAGACTTTTGACGCTGTTGCCCTTGGACTGTTGCACTTTGATCATGAAGATCTCTAGACTCTAGACACTGCTAAGGAAAACGCTTGCGTGGGACCAGGCGCCGGCAGAGCAGCCGCCAGACGCGGGCAAGCAGCCAGAATGGGACAAGCTCGTGGCGGAGGTGGCCTCGAGGATGAAGGTCTTCACGGTTAACAAAGCCACCGGGGCGCTGCAGGTTCCTACAGACAAGAAGTGGAAGGGCACTGTGCGGACAGAAGCGTTGTTCAGCACCTTGAAGACGTACGAGGACAAGGCGCAAGAGCTAGGCGCTGTGAGGCAGCCTCAAAAGAAGCCAGCCCCAAACACCAAGCCAAAGAAGGCGGACATGGTGACCATGCCAGTCGCAGACCTGAAGAAAATGGATTGCTGTTATGTGCCTTCTGATGATGAGTTGCCTGACGACTGGGAGATTGTCTTGACGTTGACGGACGGCGCCTGGGCTGTGTGGCTTTATCTCAAAGAGTCTGACAAGCCCGCCACTTTCAAGCGCCGGCAGCAGGTGCTGCCGCTAGGCCATCTTGCTGTCGGGATGGAAGCAAATGTGCCAGCCGGGCATTGGTCCATGCCCTTGAGACTGACATCGTCCAACCCATCGCAGTGCCTCGTGACAGTTGCCGGGAAAGTGACAGACCTGGCCTTTCTTGTCAAGCACATGGATATCAAGACAGAGACGCCGGAGCAGGCAAGGCTTACAGCGAACCACTTACGGAGTTTTGAAATTTGACACACTTTCTTTCTGTGGCTGGCAAGCAGATTGAAGGCGGTCGCGGTGCTACACGATTGCGTTTTTGCAATGTTGTTTGGTTTGAAGTTTGAAGTTTGGCAGTTGGCTTAGCTTGCTCCGCATTTTCTCATGTCTCCGAGCTTCTTCTGACCAAGGGCTTGCTATCCGAACCTGGGTCTTGCGGCAACCAGTCACCAGCCAGCCAGCCAGCCAGCCAGGCAGCTAGGCAACCAGGCAGCCAGGCAATCAGGCAAACAGGCAACCAGGCAACCAAGCAAGCAAGCAACCGACAGACCAACCAACCGACCAACCAACCAACCAACCAACCAACCAACCTGCCAGCCAGCCAACCAACCAACCAACCAACCTTAGAATTGCAGTAGCGCATCTAGAACTTGGGCAATGTTCCACAGACCCCTTGACGAGCTCAGCTTTTGTTTGGCCGGGTTTCCCGACATACATAGCCGGCTGCTACTGCCCAAGCTTTCCGTAGAGCCAGAGTGTTTTTGCGTAGAGCCAGAGTGTTTTTGGATAGCAAGAGAAGCACATGTTGAAAGCGTTGGCAGTTTCGCATAGAACCATGACAGCCGACGACGGCGATGACGCATTCTTCCAGTGTCCACTTGTGCTGAATAGCGTGTAGTTTCCTCCTTGAGCTTGCTGAGCTCGCCATGTCGTGCTATGACCAGACCAGCAACACCGAGGGCAAGGGTGTCAGATGTGACAAGGGCAAGGGCGTCAGATGTGACAAGGGCAAGGGCAAGGGCGTCAGATGCGACAAGGGCAAGGGCAAGGGCAATGATGAGCACGCGGCACGTGACGCCGATGCCCCGCCAGACGATGACGAAGGTGACGCCGATGCCCCGCCAGACGATGATGAAGAGTCCGACTCAGCTGCATCGTCAGATCCGCCATCGGGGCCGGAGATTGGCGAGCATATGAGGATGCTCAAGAGGAGGCGCCGTGTTGACTTTGAGCAGGCAGTCGCGTGGCGCAAGGCGCACAAGGTTCGCAGGCGCGTCAGCCGGTTCTTAGCAACGCGCAGCGCGTGAGTGCCAGACGGCCAGACTCAGACAGGTTCGTTTTGCCAGACTCAGATTCAATTGGGTAGTTGCTTTTGGGTGTTGGGCTGACTGCAAGCATTTTGGCAGGTAGAGTTTTTGAGCATGATCTGAACGTGCCAGACACGTGTCGGCGCGCTAGCGCTGCTCTGACATAGTTTTCGATATGCTTTGCAGAAAACAGCAAAGGCCTAAGGCCAGACCGAGCAGCCAGACACATATCTATACATATACATATATATAATATATACATGTGTGAATTTACCAGGAGAGCCGGCGAAGCCGGTGGGCGGAAGTTTCTAAAGCAAGAAGAGTGCCTATAGGAAAAGCTTGGCATGCATTTGTTTGAAGAGCTGCTGGGCACAGTGCACTGACGCAGGCTTGTCTCTTTCTTTCTTTCTTTCTTTCTTTCTTTCTTTCTTTCTTTCTTTCTTTCTTTCTTTCTTTCTTTCTTTCTTTCTTTCTTTCTTTCTTCTCTCTCTCTTTCTTTCTCTCTCTCTCTCTCTCTTTTCCTCTCTCTCTCTCTCTCTCTCTCTCTCTCTCTCTCTCTCTCTCTCTCTCTCTCTCTCTCTCTCTCTCTCTCTCTCTCTCTCTCTCTCTCTCTCTCTCTCTCTCTCTCTCTCTCTCTCTCTCTCTCCTCTCTCTCTCTCTCTCTCTCTCTCTCTCTCTCTCTCTCTCTCTCTCTCTCTCTCTCTCTCTCTCTCTCTCTCTCTCTCTCTCTCTCTCTCTCTCTCTCTTTCCATTTGATCTATCTATCTATTGCGAAAGTGCTGCGCCTGGCACGAAATCTGTACTCCGCCTTGCGAAAGTGCTGCGCCTGCCACGAAATCTGCACTTGACCTTGCACGGGAACAAAATGCGGCGCCTGCCACGAAATCTGCACCCCGGGTTGCCAAAGTGGTGCACATGCCACGTGATTTGCACCTCCGTCTCTGTCTTTTTTTTTCTCTCTCTCTTTCTCTCGCTCTCTCTCTCTCTCTCTTTCTCTCTCTCTCTCTCTTTACTCTACTCTCTCTCTCTCTCTCTTTCTCTCTCATCTCTCTCTTTTCCTCTCTCTCTCTCTCTCTCTCTCTCTCTCTTCTCTCTCTCTTTCATTTGATCTTATTCTATCTATTGGAAAGTGCTGCGCTGGCACGATATCTGTACTCCGCCATTGCGGAAGTTGCTGCGCCTGCCACGATATCTGCATTGACCGTGCACGAAACAAAATGCGGCGCCTGCCACGAAATCTGCACCCCGGGGTGCCAAAGTGGTGCACATGCCACGTGATTTGCACCTCCGTCTCTGTCTTTTTCTCTCTCTCTTTCTCTCGCTCTCTCTCTCTCTCTCTTTCTCTCTCTCTCTCTCTCTTTCTCTCTCTCTCTCTCTCTCTCTCTCTCTCTCTCTCTCTCTCTCTCTCTCTCTTTCTCTCTCTCTCTCCTATCTATCTATCTATCTATCTATCTATCTATCTATCTATCTATCTATCTATCACCTGAACCTTGCGAAAGTGCTGCGCCTGCCACGAAATCTCCTTGCGAAAATGTTGCTTGCGCCTGCCACGAAATCTCCTTGCGAAAGTGTTGCGCCTGCCGCGAAATCCGCACTTGACCTGGCATGGTTACAAAAAATACAAAAAAAGCTGCGCCTGCCACGAAATCTGCACCTCAGGCTGCCAAAGTACTGCGCCTGCCACGCGCTTTGCACCTACGAAACAGTCTGCGTGGCCGTGCCATTCGGGAACTTTCCGGCCCCGTGGCGAGACGGTGGCGAGCCCGTGGCGACCCCGCGGCGAGACCGTGCGCTAAACAGGGCTACCCTTCGTGTTGCGCGTGTCTAACTCCACTTTTCGTGTTACGGACGTGTTCTACTTAAACTTCCTTTGATAATAAGTATATATATATATATATGCACACATGTATATATATATATATACATATATCGTATCTTTGGCCGTCTAGTCCTTCTGAGTTGGGGGACCTGTCAAAAAATAGCACGGAGGTTTTGATCTAGTTTTTGCTACTTCTTTTGACATCAAGGCCTACGTTGTTAGTGGACCCTGACACCATGTTACCCCCCATCAACATCCCTATTCTGAGCTTGAAGATGTCCAAGCCCTCGCTTTGGCGCGCTTCGTGTGACTTCTGCATGCTCTCATCTCGCGACGGCGGTTTGTTTCCCACACGCATTGGAGGCAAAGTGATGCCGGTGCATCTTGCTAAATGTGCTCCCTTTCTGAAAGCGCAAGTTAGCAGATTGTCTTTGCAGGTGGCGTACTTGATCTACGGCTTCGCCTCCACCATCAAGGCCAACGGCGGCTTCCAGGTGAGTCAGACACCCCAGGCGGCTTTGCGCGCGTACGAACAGGAAGGCCGACTGCAAGCAGACAGCGTGTCATCCGCATGCGAACTTGTGAAGGACGAGGAGGCTGCCTTACGAATTGGTCAGCTGGTGTGGCCATGTCAGACTTGCAACATTTTGAAACTTGGACGCTCAATGTGTTTTTAAAGTGTTGCTTTGTGATATTTGTGACACGGAAACAGGGCATTGAAGGCTTTACGCAGTCAGGAAACCAGTGCTGGCGTGGAATGCGACTGCTTTGCCTGAGAAAGACCAGCGGAACTTCGTGCCAGAAATGCCAGA